TTGCTCCACTTTCCGCTGTGTCAAGGTCCAGTTCATGAAAGTAGAATGCTAATGATCTGCAGGTTAACACTATTAAAGATTGTCAGCTTGGTACAGTGTGCTCCGTACTGGATGTGGCCATGTGATTCTGAACTATTTTCATTTAGGGCCTATCTATCTGGCCGACACGTCACCGCGACTGCTGCGGCTGATCTGTCGCAACTACTCAGGAGAGAGGAGGATTGCTTGCGCTCTCGCTGGGGCAACATTTCACGAGACCAATTCAGCCAAAAGTCACCGCGATGTCTTGGTGATGCCGTGACAAGTGCCAGTGCGAGTTCAGGCTGGTGAATTCTCAGTCACCTGGACTAACGCTATTGCGGAGCAAGATTATATAATAACAGTGGCCATGATGTGACTGTTCACTGATGCTGGCCCGAAAAGACCAGTATGATTTTTATAAATGAATACGATGAAATCAAAATGTTCTTGCTTTTTAAAAATGTTATACATTAAATAGTTTGCATCAATTATCACTGACCTATTTACCTTGATGCAAACATTTTTTTTTTTGACGTACGGTTAAACCCTTCCATAAGTAATGTCTTGAACAAGATATAAAGCGTAGGAAATTTCAAATGTTAAATATTAAGTGAGATTTTATACTGTGAAAATAAAAAACACACATTACCATTATAACACACAAAAAAGTAACTACACTTGAGGAATAAGTTGCAGATGATTAAAAAGTGGCCAACTGACAATTTTCTTCTCTTTTCTTCCAAAATAAATCAAATTCTGTTTCTTACTCCAATAAATTTTAATCACGTGTAACCCATGTATAAAAGGATCCAAAGGATTTTTTTTTTCAGTAACAGGGCCAGTGTTCTGGCAAGGCTTCCCAAACAGTTACTTGTTACCTATTAAAAAATGTAGTTAGCAACATAATCCAAGGTCCATAAAATAAAAGTAATGTAATTTATACTTTTAATTAACTGCATTACTGCAATACTGAATATGCTAACAAAGACAAAATGTAGATGGACAGATTGATAGATAGATAGACTCATATCGCTGCCGCACACAACCGCACACCGTAATTATGATGTGCGCTGATGACGATGCATGATGTCACCACAAAATACCACTTTTATTTCCCGTGTCACGTTTAGCCATTTTTATTGTTAATATGGTTTAAATATGAAATCTATGGGTGATTTGTGACCATCATAGCAGGACGCCGACAGCTCAAACTTTTCTTTGGAAATATTCATCCATCATCCATCCATTTTCCTCACAAGGGTCGCATGGCATGCTGGAACCAATCCCAGCTGTCTTCGGGCAGTAGGCGGGGTCACACCCTGAACTGGTTTGGAAATATTATTTGAGATAAATTGGTCTTTCAGTGAGTACGCTCCAAAACAGTTCCAAACAACGGTCCCCACTTCTTCCTTCCCTTCACGTGTGGAGGACACGACATAGCCAGTTCACCCTCGCCGATTCTACATGAACTCCCATTGCTCTCAGCAACACTGCGCTGAGTGAGTGGACTCACGGCAGTCCATTGAGTTACGTGAAAATTGTGACGCTTTATCCACTTGTTGAGGGCTCAAACAAACAATGGCGTCACTCTGTCCACGTGGAAAATGTAATCTTGTGTAATTATCCCAATTTTGAATGAATGAACCTGTCATCTGATTGTTTTTTTTTTTCTGTAACTGTAACGGAATACAGTTATATTGATTTTGTATTCTGATTCCATAATGCCCGTACATGTATTCCGTTACTCCCTCAACCTGCATGTATGTAAGTACATATCTATGGGCATACGTCCTAAACCTGCAGTATAAAATGAGGAGGCAACTGAGGTGAGGAGAATACATTCTAAATGGATAATAATAAGAGGAGGGTTTTCACAATAATAACTCGAAGGTGGTGGGAGACCAAACCTGAAATAAAGCAGAATTTAACAAGAGGGAATTGCTGCAAATTACTGAAAGGATAATTGTTAGTATCTAATAAAGCAAGCCACAATCACCCTGTGCTTTAGCACTGATCAATGGCCAATGCCTTACAGCCTACAAGGGGCAAGGAGTTCAGGGAAGAAAAACTGTTTGCATCCACACAACTAAATAATGAACATTTAAAGGGCCTCAGGCTGTGAAGTGATGTAGCACGGCATAGTTAATCTGATATTAAGCAGCGCGACAGTAAACAGGAAAGAGACAAAAGTCTCAAGACACAGCTCTTAACTCAAGGATGGGAGGGATTTGACTTCAACTTTATCAAATGCTTTTGGGATGAATTAGGTCAGAGATTGGGAGGCAGGCCCTCTCATTCAAAATCAGTGACCTCTGAATTGACTAACATTCTTCTGATCAATGGACAACGTTTCCCACAGACACAAAGACTTCCCATGAGGGCGAGTTGTTATAGCAGCAAGGGGTAGACACAATCATTTCACTTCCTGCAGGTGAAATAAGTTTGCATTGACACTTGGACTGGTACCGAGAATCCCCATTCGATATTCCTGTTAACGGCAGCGAATGTCTTTGAAATGGATTTGAATGGATTATTCATTGTATTTTTCTGACAAAAAAAAAACATCATTGGACAACAAATGAATACTCCAACGTGATCAAAATGGTCAATGTTGTGCACTTCTATAGCGCTTTAGCTACACCATACACAGAGTTGGGAAGGTTACTTTAAAAATGTATTGCATTACTAGTTATCTGTTTAAAATGTACTCAGTAACATAACCCAAGTCCGACAGCATTAAAGTAATGTAACTTGAATACCTTTAATTACATTCAGATTACTCCAATCCCAAATATGTTGAAAGAAATTCTAACAAAGAAAAAAAAATCAATATTATAAATATTTTTATTTGTCTTGTCTTTTCTGTCCTAAGGCTATTTAAATGCACGATTTTGGAATGCTGGAGGAAGTTCGAGCACCCGCAATTCAAATCCACAGCACAAGAACTGTCATGTTCGGTCTTGATTGTGTTTCAGCTGCAGCTGGAGCGAAGGGCGTTTCCTTCCAGCAGGCGCATCTGTGCCGCATTTCCAATCAAGCCTTGCCACGTATTTCAGTACGAACAAACTGCCTGGTCATGGTCAGATTATTGACCTTGCTTGCTGTTCTGCTTCAAATGTTGTTTTCTAGCCCTCTCGATACTATTCATAGATTCTTGCTTGGAAATATTTGTGTTATTCTATGATATCCGGGTACTCCGGTTTCCTCCCACAGGGTGTACCCCGCCTATTGCCTGAAGACAGCTGGAGATAGACTCCAGCATGCCCCGCGGCCCTTGTGAGGCAGACGTGCTAACCAGTCACCCACCGTGCTGCCCGCATAACAGCATTTTTAAACAAAGAGTCAATCAGTCAATATTGTAGGATTTATTATTTACTGTTAATTGTGTTCCGAGCGGATAGTTATTTAAAATTATAAAATTGATCACCATAATTAATTTATTGAGTTAATTAAAGTTGAAGTTTGTAATTTTCCTCAGAATAATCACCATTCATGAAGAATGTTTTCCTAAGACAATTTCAAAAGAACGGGAAAAACAAAGCACTTCACCGAAGAATTTGGCCACATTATGAATAATTTGGGGTTTAAGCTTCTACAGATGTGCCAGATGGCGTAAGACGCTTACTTTGTGGTGAGGTGTATCAGAGAGAACAGGCATGGACAACTTCCCATCAAACTTGGTCTCACTAGACACTCCATTTTAGCATTCACAACAGCCACAGTAGCTTTCTCTTCACCCTCAAATCGCTTTCATGGAGTAGCAGCTCTAAATCCACCTCTGTGCGCCACATCCCACTCAGCTGTGCTTCCATGTCATCCAAATAGGGCAGGGATAATTGGCTCAGCAAACACGGTCTCATGGAGATGGGCCTCTCCTATTTGTTTCCACCGACATTTTTACCCATATGCGGAAGTCCTTTATTATCTTTACACAATCGCGTTTACAGTACAATCTGATTGCATTTGCAATAGTACAACTGCCAATATGTCTGTAAAATGTAGCAGAAGCAGGCCTCAGATTATCCCCTGTAGACCGCATCGGGACACCAATTACACTAACATTTCAACTTTGCCATGAAAGCGAGTATCAGTTGACAGCAGCTGTTTGCCATAAGCATAACTTTCATCAGTAATTTAAATGCTTTACGGAATAATATACACGATGAGGATGTGGCTTCTTTCAAAATGAGGCCAGTTCACCTCTCTGCTGGCTCGTCTCAGTGAAACACAATGTTTTGGGGGGGGGGGGGGGCGCAAAAAAAAAATCGCAGTTTAAACATTGTGACATTTCAAATCTCAGCAATGAGCTGGTTGTCAAATCAATGCCTCAGTGAGATGTGTTGGCCGCAAAGGGTTCGGCTCCTTTAAAGATTGTTCGCCGAGCTGCTGAGGTGTAATGTTTGTGCCATTAGGACAAGCACAGAAACCCTCAAGATGTTTGGGCTTCTGATCCAAATCCGCCACCACCTTTTACAGTCTTAGTTGCAACTGGACCTGGCAGCCACATATTGACTATCCATACTCAGATGACACACATCGGATACAATGTGGCACAAACCGGCTTTTACCATATTTTTCAAACAGTATTTGCCTGACCCATGCGCTCCATTTAGCGCTCGGCAAGATAGCACCAGAATTCAACCTCACTTTTCAGAATCACTGATGAAATTGCAGGAAAGTGCCAGAACGGATCTCGATAAAAGATGCATGCTGCTGTGGTGTGTTGGGGATATGGTGAGACAGGCTGAAAGACAGATAGATGGAAGCAGCTGTCTGAGTGGTTGTTTGTAGCCGCTTGCATGCTGGGCTTTGGGGAAATAATAAAACTGCATCATTAGGACACCTGCCATTCACAAGCCGTTTGGAGAAGCCTCCGTTAGCTTTAAATGCCCAATGAAAGCATCACATATGGAGCACGTAGGTCAGAGTCATTAAGCACTTAATTTAGCAGAAGAAAACATATCTTAGGGGGCCTTCATCGGTGTCAAGTTCAATTTATTATCTTTGAAAAACTGCTATATTGTCAAAACCCAATATATTCTGCCATGTGGAAGCTATTTTTGATCAATGAAAAAACAAATGTGGCTGTGCATGACCATAAATACGCTTACTAATGAGATAGTGTCTTGCTCCGTCAGATACAGGGGAGCCCATTTCTGTATAATTGACACGAGTGTACCCATAGGGCTAATTATTGGACTTGTTGGTGAGTGAAATGTTTTTATGGGTCAAAAATGTAGGAAAAGAGCACATTTGAAGGCATCGTCCCTGTGAGACGCCACTGTGCCCCGCAAGTGCAACGTTGTGCTTTATTTCTGCGACTAATAGGCCATAATATGGCATCATACGAAAGAGTAAAGCGGTCTGTGCCACACCCCCTTATCCGCGGTGTGGTGGTATGATCCACGGATGCTGTTATAGCGGCGACCAGCCTCGGCAGCATCAGCAACACCAGTGAGTCTCGTCGGGTTCAAGTGCAGCTAATCGCAGTTTGCCGGGCTCCCTCCTGTCACCACCGCACTGTCCTGCCGGGCTTTCATACCCTGCCTACCAACAGACTCCCTTCCCCTCTGCAGAGATCTCGTCTGAGGCAGCGTCCACTTCGTATCGAAACCACACCGGCGGAGTCCGAGGAGCGCGGCGAGGTGTCTCAGTCACGTTTCGAGCAGAGGCACAACGTCACGGGGTTCCGATTCTGCTTGGGGGGCGGGATTGCTCCGCACTTGGATCTTAAGCGTGGAATTTCACCGAAAAGGAATGGCTGCTGCTACACGTCAGGAAGGTAAGCGTTCTGTCCTGGCCTTTCGTGGACTCACGCACGGCGTGTGACCGGTTGTCAGCACTGTTGCTTGGCTGGAGGCAGCTCGGCTGCTGGGACAACGTGAGTTCACAGGAAATGATCATCAGCTGTTCGTAGTCTGCGTGCCGTAGTGTGTGTGCGGTGCGTGGGACACCGCCGGGCTACATGGGCGCGTGCTAATGCTCTAAGCAGTTCTCGATCCATACTTTGTACACGCAGGAAGCACGCCTATCGGATAAACGCCACTAATGGTGACCATTGCTCAGCTTTATGCTTGCGAAGTTGGCTTCGATCCACGAGCAGCCTTGAGGTGGTGCCAGTCCATCAGCATCAGCACCAAGGTAGCCTAATGATGCCAACAGGGCCACGTGAGGTCGATACGTATTTGATCGATTTTGTACAATGCAAAAGTATAACATTTTGACGAAAAGGCCATGCATATTGCTCGATGGTACAGGTCCAGAAGGCAAAATAGAGCAAACACTTTCTACAAAACTCCTGTAAAACAGTAACATTCTGAATACCAAAGGCTGTGCCAACCCCACACTAGATAACATTATTGAGCTGCATATTTATTTTTCCACATCGGATGACTTTAAAATGAATGAGGGTGAATAATTAAGGGCAGGAAAAATACAGTTGGATAAATCATAATTATTATGAAGCTGCCATAATTTGCACCGGTATGGGCACGCTCGGATAGATTTAAATTATACTGTCTCTCTTCTTCATATGATAATTGCTTTCAGTAAACCGCTGAAGACAGTTTGTGCAAATAAGAAATAAATTAATACATTGATGTAGCATAATAACTTGAAAAAAAGTATAAGACAAAAACGTTAGTATGGAATATGCTTTATTCAATAACGCACAGCTGAAATATGATGTCATTAATCAGAAACACAAATTTATCACAATGCACTATTCCTGCAGCAACCTTTACAATTCAGGCAGAAAATATTACAATAATTTCAGATAATTATACGGTCTGTGGTACTTTGTCATTTTAAAAAAACACATATCAATGCAATGTACGTGTGACACTGTCCTACCTGAAGCTGTTCATGGTGAGGTGATCGCGGTTCTTTTTTTTTTCTCGGCGTGTGCCTTATTGATCGTGAAATAAGGCCGTATGTCTTGGATTTTTTTTTTTTTTTTTTAACAGAGCATCTGTGATGGGGGTTAGCGACTATACACACGTACACAAGCTGCAAAGCCTTTCTCACACACTCCCACACACAACCTGGACCCCCCCCCCCCCCCACCACTCCAAACACACATGCACACTGTCCAAATGTGTGTTAATATGTGTGCCTTATACCTGTTATCTACATACAGATGCTTTTTAGTGTGGATCCTTTCAGTGGTGATTAAGAGCATATCTTAAATGCCACACCCATTATGGCAGGTCGTTGAATTAAAATGTCACGCTACCAATTACACACCCTGCTCATGGCACTGATAAAGCATTGGCATTTCTGTCAGTCATCCAACATGGCTAATCAGTCCATCCAACATTCCGCATTTCATTTTCAATCATATCAACTTGAGCCAGTTGACTCCTCGGCAGCAGTTTGAGGCCAGCAGTGCGGCTATACTAATGATCTCGTTCAGCTGTTGCTCTCTCGTTTTTTAATTTTCAGTCCTGTTGCGAGGGGGCTTCACACATATGGTGCAGTCGTAATTTGAAAAAAAGACGCAAACTCATTTCCATGCCTTTGCGTCCCATCATAATTACAGCGCGATAGAGTCTCTGCACTGTTAAGTTTCACCTGTCAACATATCCCTTTGTCCCATGTGGAGAAGACTGTAAAAGTCATCACATGGGCGATCCTTTGCGCGGCAGAGATTCGAGTGAAACTGCACCGGCTTCGTGTTGCGCGGCACTGTACCAAAAAGAAAGGGGGTGCGGTTTGGTGGGTCTTCTTTTTTGTAACCCAGCCATGCATTATTAATAAATTTTCATTCCAGGAATGCTGTTGCCCATGGCACTGTAATGCTCTCCTCTCCTGTGGAATCGCTGCGGCGTTTCTCTCTGCCCCACAATGTTGCTGCCAAACGACTTTTCCTTAATAAATTTGAGGTCATGAATTAGTGAGAGGACAATGTGAGAGGCACAGGGGGATGTTCTAAACATAACACACACACATAACACAGTACTGCTCAGAGCACTACACCCACTCCTGCAGTCAGAAGCAATACGAAGCCCAGTGTGACATTTTACCACCCACTTCTCTCTCTGCATGTCCATCATATATGATAAGAATGTAATTGCTCGGAAAGCTCAAATGTTCGCCACTCTGCTGATCATTTTCAAGTAACAGAACCCTTGCCACTCGAGCAATGAGACGACAAGACTTTGACGTACAAACACACACTTGAACATGACACAACTTCAAAAATGTTCATCTTTCTGAAGTGGAATGCTGCTCAATCGTCAATAGGAATTGTTCAGTCCTGTAGTGCTTAATTAACATTTTTTCCAATCTGATGGCAATCGTTGACCCCTGCCGAAAAAAATAAAAATAAAAATCCCAGCACTGTAATCAAAGAAAAACAAGAACAAAACCAAAAACCTGGAACCCAAAGACCATAATGGCACCCTTTAAAATATTTTATGGCGCTCAACATTGTAGAAAGGTTCATAACCTTAAAGCTGGAATTTCTTCCAACTTGATTGACATCAGGTTAAATCCTCATGCAGTTTCAAAAATAATAAAGTGTCAAAATAAGGAACTATGTCTCATTTGATGGCTTTTGATTTACAGTCCACAATGTGAACGTATATGTGCTTGTCATCTATTATTTTCTGACAATGCTCTTTCACACACAAAAAAAAGAGGTTTATTGTTATGCCGAAACCAAGCGTACAAGTAAAAGAAAAAAAAGTCTCCAAACAAAACAATAGTGTTGGTGCAGACAAATTCACACGGGCGTGCGCAAGCACACACACACACACACACACACACGCACACATACACACACACACACACACACACACACACACAAACACACAAAAACACACACACACACACACACACACACACACACACACACACACCCACCGGGTTGAAGCATGTATGCCGCAGGCAATCTTCTTTTAAGTATTTGGCGTTGTCTCAACTGGCGTCTCCAGCTCTTTATTCCCTCTTGTGTCTTGTGTTTCTCCATTGGGCTGTGGGCAAAAGTCAGGAACTACAGTAAATGTGCTTTCACAAAGAGGCAACGCGTTCTGTGCGAAATGCATTATCAAAATGCAATTGTAGCCTTGCTTCATATTCCTGTACCTTCAACACCCCGCTTCTCCGGTCTAACGACAGAAGGGATGAGAGCCTCGAGAATCTTACTGGTCAAGCCACTCCACCATTCTTTAAAATATGAGATTAATTTGTCAAGAGGAGTGTGCCGTGTGCGCCTTTTAGCGTGTGAAGAGGCGCGCTAAAGGAGCGTGGCTAGCTGGAGGGCTTAGACAGAAAAGCTGTCAGAAGAAAGCTGCGGTCATTTCCGAGTGCCTAATTTGTCTCTAGTGGATTGTGACATCTTGTGAGTGTTTCCATTTAATTGCTCCCTGAACATTATGCAAAGATTGGGTTATTCAAGGTGTATTCTTTTGATTTGGATTGGAAAAGCATACATGTTTGGCAGAAATTCACTCTGACGCCGCACACTCTAACACTGCTATGCTATCACCCAAACACACACGCACACACACGCACACGCACACGCACACGCACACACACACACACACACACACACACACACACACACACACACACACACACACACACACAAGAAAGCCAATGTCCACCTACAGGGACACATTCGTCTCTGTGAAATTTTTATTAATCAAGTCATTGGACAATTTCTGAAGAAGGAAAATCAATGTTTGTTTCTTCACAGATTTATTACCACGTAAATTGTCCTTCACCTCGCCCTGCAAGTCTTGGCATTGTTGTCAAAACAATTACGTCAAAATCCATTATATTTGTCTTGTTGATACAAAGGACAAAATTGAGTATCTTCCAGACAGCCTTTACAGAGAGACCGGTAATTCATATTCAGTTTCATACACATTATTGAGGAAGGAAGGCTTCAATCAAAAAAAAAAAAAAAAACAAACAAAACATAACAAACAAACCCCCCTCCTCTTTAAATCTTGCTTGTCTCAAAATTAACCTTGAAAAAGGAAGTCAATTTCAAACAAATGCTGACAAAATGATTGAACTGAAAGCAACTTGACCTCTCCCGCCCCCACCCTCCTTCCAACAATTAAAGAACAGATCATTCATCAAATGTTGCAATTTAGCATGTAATTTATTTACTAAATTGACTAATTTATTTCTGTAACTTTACTACATGAGTATGAAATGATTTACTCAGACAAACTACTTGCTTGTTGCTTGCAACATCAAACAGTGAATGCATGCTGTACATTCGCTTCTCTAAACGAGTTCATTTATTTGCCGCTGAATTAAATAATCCTCATGTGCATATTGCCAGTAATATTCATGGCTTTCCTTTTGCGAGATTATCATGAATTATTAACTCATGGAAAAAAAAAAATGAACAGTGCCAAAACGATGCCTGATGCGTCTCTGTTGGAGGCCCTGTTGTCTACATCCATTAAGTGAAACCAGCGTCTTCTTTTTTGTGGTTAAGGTTAATTTCAGTATGAGTCATGATCCGTCGTGAATCCTGGAATGTTTTTGCTGGTATATGAATCGTTGCTCAAATTGGCCTCAAATTGCACAGGGAGAAGCTCTCTGTCGATTGCCAGCCAAAATGCCCTGGCAAACTGCACAAAGAAAAGTCATTTGTGCAAATAAAGTAACCAGAATGTACCCCAAAGAAAATCATGGGTGGATTGTGCGGTCATTTCTTTTCAACAAACGGCAAGACTTAGCTTCCGAAATGACACATTTTACAGAATGTGCTACATGTTAATCTGACATGATGTGCCCAGAAAAAAATAAAAATAAACA